CTTGGAGTCGGAGATCTGGATTGTGTTCGCATCTATAGAATGCGAGGAGAATTTAATGGTGATATTCAGTTCGCATTTGGTGACACAAGTACGTGGTTGATGATTTTTGGTTGGTTCGCATTTGAAATTAGTGGGTTTCGCATTTGGGTTCGTATCTGGGTTTCTCAAACAACTGAAATGCGAATATGAGACAACTGATTAATTTCTCAGTTAATGCGATGAAATGCGAATGAACTCAAAGACGGATGGATGCAAGATGCGAAGAATTTGAATGAAAATGCGAAGTTTTTAATGTATAAATGCGAATTGGGGAAGAAAGCTTAGAGTTTCGCATTTGGCACCTGATCTTTTCAAGAAATAATATAAGTGGTCCAACTTCGCAAAATGGGGTCATTTAATCAGAAAATCGATCATTCTTCAAATATGACATTTAATCAGAAAATCGATCTAAAAATGAGACATTTGGTGTTTATCGATTTTTCAGGGTCGACGGGTTGTATGAAAAGCGAAGGCTGAGTAATTGAAAATTAGAGGATCGATGGTTGCTACTAATTACTTGTAACTGGTATTGGTTTCATATCGATGGATGTGGATTCGCATATGAAATCAATTGTGTTCGCATCTATGAAATCAGTTCGCATATGACATCAATTGAGTTCGCATTTGGTTTTGTGGGTCAAAACAGTTCGCATAAGAAGTTCACGATTTGTTTGAGGTTAATTGATTTTGATTTCGCAAGCTTGGAGTCGGAGATCTGGATTGTGTTCGCATCTATAGAATGCGAGGAGAATTTAATGGTGATATTCAGTTCGCATTTGGTGACACAAGTACGTGGTTGATTTTTTGGTTGGTTCGCATTTGAAATCAGTGGGTTTCGCATTTGGGTTCGTATCTGGGTTTCTCAAACAACTGAAATGCGAATATGAGACAACTGATTAATTTCTCAGTTAATGCGATGAAATGCGAATGAACTCAAAGACGGATGGATGCAAGATGCGAAGAATTTGAATGAAAATGCGAAGTTTTTAATGTATAAATGCGAATTGGGGAAGAAAGCTTAGAGTTTCGCATTTGGCACCTGATCTTTTCAAGAAATAATATAAGTGGTCCAACTTCGCAAAATGGGGTCATTTAATCAGAAAATCGATCATTCTTCAAATATGACATTTAATCAAAAATCGATCTAAAAATGAGACATTTGGTGTTTATCGATTTTTCAGGGTCGACGGGTTGTATGAAAAGCGAAGGCTGAGTAATTGAAAATTAGAGGATCGATGGTTGCTACTAATTGCTTGTAACTGGTATTGGTTTCATATCGATGGATGTGGATTCGCATATGAAATCAATTGTGTTCGCATCTATGAAATCAGTTCGCATATGACATCAATTGAGTTCGCATTTGGTTTTGTGGGTCAAAACAGTTCGCATAAGAAGTTCACGATTTGTTTGAGGTTAATTGATTTTGATTTCGCAAGCTTGGAGTCGGAGATCTGGATTGTGTTCGCATCTATAGAATGCGAGGAGAATTTAATGGTGATATTCAGTTCGCATTTGGTGACACAAGTACGTGGTTGATGATTTTTGGTTGGTTCGCATTTGAAATTCAGTGGGTTTCGCATTTGGGTTCGTATCTGGGTTTCTCAAACAACTGAAATGCGAATATGAGACAACTGATTAATTTCTCAGTTAATGCGATGAAATGCGAATGAACTCAAAGACGGATGGATGCAAGATGCGAAGAATTTGAATGAAAATGCGAAGTTTTTAATGTATAAATGCGAATTGGGGAAGAAAGCTTAGAGTTTCGCATTTGGCACCTGATCTTTTCAAGAAATAATATAAGTGGTCCAACTTCGCAAAATGGGGTCATTTAATCAGAAAATCGATCATTCTTCAAATATGACATTTAATCAAAAATCGATCTAAAAATGAGACATTTGGTGTTTATCGATTTTTCAGGGTCGACGGGTTGTATGAAAAGCGAAGGCTGAGTAATTGAAAATTAGAGGATCGATGGTTGCTACTAATTGCTTGTAACTGGTATTGGTTTCATATCGATGGATGTGGATTCGCATATGAAATCAATTGTGTTCGCATCTATGAAATCAGTTCGCATATGACATCAATTGAGTTCGCATTTGGTTTTGTGGGTCAAAACAGTTCGCATAAGAAGTTCACGATTTGTTTGAGGTTAATTGATTTTGATTTCGCAAGCTTGGAGTCGGAGATCTGGATTGTGTTCGCATCTATAGAATGCGAGGAGAATTTAATGGTGATATTCAGTTCGCATTTGGTGACACAAGTACGTGGTTGATGATTTTTGGTTGGTTCGCATTTGAAATCAGTGGGTTTCGCATTTGGGTTCGTATCTGGGTTTCTCAAACAACTGAAATGCGAATATGAGACAACTGATTAATTTCTCAGTTAATGCGATGAAATGCGAATGAACTCAAAGACGGATGGATGCAAGATGCGAAGAATTTGAATGAAAATGCGAAGTTTTTAATGTATAAATGCGAATTGGGGAAGAAAGCTTAGAGTTTCGCATTTGGCACCTGATCTTTTCAAGAAATAATATAAGTGGTCCAACTTCGCAAAATGGGGTCATTTAATCAGAAAATCGATCATTCTTCAAATATGACATTTAATCAGAAAATCGATCTAAAAATGAGACATTTGGTGTTTATCGATTTTTCAGGGTCGACGGGTTGTATGAAAAGCGAAGGCTGAGTAATTGAAAATTAGAGGATCGATGGTTGCTACTAATTACTTGTAACTGGTATTGGTTTCATATCGATGGATGTGGATTCGCATATGAAATCAATTGTGTTCGCATCTATGAAATCAGTTCGCATATGACATCAATTGAGTTCGCATTTGGTTTTGTGGGTCAAAACAGTTCGCATAAGAAGTTCACGATTTGTTTGAGGTTAATTGATTTTGATTTCGCAAGCTTGGAGTCGGAGATCTGGATTGTGTTCGCATCTATAGAATGCGAGGAGAATTTAATGGTGATATTCAGTTCGCATTTGGTGACACAAGTACGTGGTTGATGATTTTTGGTTGGTTCGCATTTGAAATCAGTGGGTTTCGCATTTGGGTTCGTATCTGGGTTTCTCAAACAACTGAAATGCGAATATGAGACAACTGATTAATTTCTCAGTTAATGCGATGAAATGCGAATGAACTCAAAGACGGATGGATGCAAGATGCGAAGAATTTGAATGAAAATGCGAAGTTTTTAATGTATAAATGCGAATTGGGGAAGAAAGCTTAGAGTTTCGCATATAAATGAAAGTACGATGCTATTCCTTGTATTTAGTTGTTTTCAATGCAAAGAATAAGATAAAATGGAAGTACGGTATTAGCTAATCTGCAATTGCATTCAAATATTAAGAATATTGATAATACCAAATGTGCAATTTGGGTTAAAAAAAACTTAACTTGAGCTTGTAAGGGGAGATAATTCTCTAGAATAAAATCACTCTTTCTTTTAATCGTGAGAATCACAATCAGTTGAACTGTTGAAGAGATGAAGTAACAGGTCGTGCTTCGAAAAAATGAGAGAGTGGACATCAAATGAAAAAATTATCCAAAACCTATAAATCAGATAAACTAAAACAACTTAAAAAAATAATAAAATTCTTACAATCCAAAAACAAAACCAAGATGAATTAAACACAATAATCATAGTCAAGTTTTGAAATATATTGAATTAACTTGAACCAATATTCTGCACATTGGGTGTTAGGCAATATACTCCTGCAAAAAATAATGTAAAACAAGCTCATAAATTGTGAATAAAATAAACAACTAACCCTAAAACTGGTTGGAAATAGTGTGTGCTGATCTCATCAAATAATCTGGCATTTATGAATAGCTCTAAATAATCTTAAACAACATAGGTGAGTGTAAGAATCGATATATCCATGAAACACAGAGTAAAATCATTATATGACAATTAAGTAAAACTAAAAAAAAACATGGAACAGAGAATTTGATAGAACTATTTACCTGGATAGTGGTGAAGATGGAGATGGTTAGTGAAGGCTTCAACGTTGGGGTTTAATTAGAGTGTGAATACAAAGATAGGGGAGAAGACAAAGATGGTAGACGATGGTGGTGAGGTCATGATAACAGTTCGATTTCTGTGATTTTCACCCAATTCATAACAAAAATTGTTATTTTTCTTGAAAACAAACATTAATTAAATGGATAAGGATTCAACAACTACAGTAAAATGATAGAGTAATAAGATATTTCCTTCATTAACTGGAGTCCATATCAGTACAGATAGTTGAAGATATACCTGAATTGATACAGATAGTTGAGAAATGTCAAAAGGACACAAATACCCTTAGTACCACTTAAACAAGAAAGCTTTACTCTAGATACACTTATACAAGAATATTTAATATACAAATGATTACCCAAAATGTAGACAAACATCAGAACCTGAAATGGAGAGGAAACACCGGAAATTGAGAGTAAACATTGACGATTATGTGATAAATGACTGAAAAGAACACTTTAAAATTGCTAACAAAAACCTGTATTGTTAGAGAACGTTTGTAAATTAATAGTGTTTGCCTCCTGGTTCTGCAATAGAGAGAGAGAGAGAGAGAGAGAGAGAGAGATGGTTGGAGACCTATGACCACAAAAAGAGAATATGTGTGTGCATATGGCTTAAAGAGCACTAACCTTGAAATCGTGTTGGATCCTGGTCCACTGTGACACTTGTTGTGAAAATGGTTGTCTGAGGTTTCTAGAGAGTCGAGTGCGACCAGCTGTGAGTAGTAGATGGTTAGGTCTCCAGGTATGTGTGTAAAATGCGTAACACTTACGACCTCACAGATAAGAAATTTTTTGCAGTCAATTGGTCATATAAGGGGATGGGGCAGAGATATGAAGAAAAAGATTCGTTCTAGACTTGACCGGTGCAATCGATCAAAATCAAATAATTAGAGAATAGAACAGTAGCATATGCTAGATGTCGAGAGATGGGGGTTGTGAACGGTGGTAAGATGAAGTGCGATGATGATGAAGGTGGCCTGTTTGATGGTAGTGAAGGTTATGTGACAACAAAGTTTACTGATGGTGTTGTGATGTTCGATATTCGGGTTTCTAAAGGAGATATGCAAGAGAAGAGAAAGGCAGAGGTGTTTAGCAGCGACTGTAATGGTCTCAGTGGTCAAGGTGTGGTGGGTAACTGCGTCGAATATGGGAGGAATTTTAGAGTATTTAATAGAGAGGGAGAGAGTTCAAGGAGAGAAGAGATGGCGACTCATCTAGGGTTATTCTACAAGGAAGGGCTATAGATACTAAGATAAGAGATGATATATAAAGTTTATCTATAGACCGATTCAATTGGCAAAATCTGAGGAAGACGGGTTCTTCTTTGACCAGTTCAATTTGAAGAAGAAAGCCAAAGCCTATGTACGTAATTCATGTTAACCGCGTAAGATTTGGTATTTTTCTATGCATAAACTCATTGTAAATAGCGTAATAAGGGTTATACTTAAAAAATATTATTATTATATTGAATCTATTTATGGAAATAGTTGGATTTCTATTATAAGGTAGTATAGATATATAAATAATAAAAGTTATAAATTGATATTTCTTTTTTTAGAGTGTTTGGATTAAGACAAAATATAAAAAATACAAACATACATATTTAAGTCTATTTAGTATACAAACATATCATCTCTAATAAATGAATGTTATTTTGGCCACTTATCACACTCTCATTCAATTGCCAAATATCATTTTGTAGTTATTTTGAATTATTTTTTTTAATTTTCACATGTTATTTTATAAGTTTTTATAGTTTATTAAATTCCACATGTAATAATTGCAATAAATGTACTAATAAATGAATATCAATTTAATTAATGAACTTAATTTTTAATTTAAAATTTCATAAAACTAAAACTCATTAATTTCTTTTATTTATTTAAATTATTTGCTTAAATTTAAACGATAAAAGCATTTTTTTTATAATAATTTTATTATTTCTATAAATTCAAAGTTTTTAAATATTTTGAAATTTATATTTAATTTTTTTTAAATTAACCTTTGGTATACAACGAAAAACAAAAAAGGATCTCCTTATTATTTTCTTTTTAAGTTAACAAGAAAATTTCACTTTTAAAACTAGTAAAAACCTATTTTAGAAAATACTTATTAACTTTTCAAACATTTTTTGATAATTTTTTTTTAAAACTAAAAAATCAATAAATATTTTTCAAATTAAATCTCAAAACACCCTCTCAAATAAAAATATAAAATCATCTGCTATATTGCAAATAACTTTTGTGATATTGATTTATTTATTTTTCATTTCGCGATAAACATATATCCTGTTCAAACCAGTCTTTCTCCACTCCACTTTGCCCTACTCCCCCGTTTCCCCCTTCTCAGCTGAGCCTGTGCTATCAGTCAAAGCTCTCTCTCTTTCTCTCAGGTATGTGGCACAAACTCATCTCTCCCACGAACAAACCTTGTAAGAATTTGATTCTGAGCCCTACGTTTACTTGTAGATTTTGTCCCCTAATGTTGCGTCATCGATGATGTAGAATCTCATTTTGAGGACCTGAATCATCTCATCCCCGTGTATCTTCTATATCTTTATTTGATTTGAACATGCATTGAATTGCCAAGTCTTGTTATCTGATATGGATGTGACATGCATCCTGACAAAATCGAGCAGATGCATTTCTAGTATTCCGTGATGAATGGATTTAAGTTGTCTGAGTTCACACGCTGTTTTCAAATAAGTTTTTTTGAAATGAAACTGCTATGCATGCTGTTTGCGAATTGGAGGCATCAACGTCAGTGTAGTGGTGTTGTTGTACCTGTTACTCCGTCTGTGAAAGAAGGAGACTATTCCTTTTCAAAGTTAAGATTTATAGTTCAAATCCTGTATGGATCTTCCTTTGAAATTACATTTATGTCAATTTTGAGTCTAAAACGAAGCTTTCTGAACATTCAGAAGTTGAAATGTGGATTTCTTTTAAGATGGATGTGTGGAGTTTAGTACAGATATTATCCAAAATCGTAGTGTAGCTTCTTTTCTTAACAAATGGCATTTTCTTATCTGTGTCTAGTGTTACACTTGTCCTCTTGATTATTATCAAGATTCAATCCCCCTTTTTCCCACCATTTTCTTTATTTACTTCACATTTTTCTTTAGGTGCTTTATTTCCTATGGCGTTTGCAAATTTTCATGGACTTAGAGCTCTGCAAATTTCTTCACGAGAAAGCATTTTCAACCATGGAAGCTGCCACACACGAACTGATACATCCAACAGTAGATGTTTTGCTGTCAAGGCTTGCAGTAAGAAACCTGATCAAAACATTCATCTTGAATCTAAGGTAAATTTATATGAAGCTCTCTACTTCATCATACTTTTCTGTGATTACAGATTCTCGTATCCTAGCTGTTTTCTGCATATTTAACATTATCTCAATTTGATCTGAAGGTCTATATAGTTGTATATTGAGTATTGAATGTTTAATTGCAAATTTGCAATGTAGATTAACATGTTCTCCTCAAATTTCATCATTGAATGGCCAATAACCAAAAGGGGTAGTGAATTAGTAATAAATTCGTTATTTCATTTTGTCTATATGGATAACCTTCTTTTCTCCTATAAACAAAGACCTTTTTTGATTTAACAAAGAACATTCTCTATATATGAGTTTATTTACCAATTTTCTCTTACAAACATCTACTTAGTGATACATCCCTCAAAAAATTGCAACATATGGTTCAAATGAAGTTTTCAGCTTTTATCAAATGTCCCAAATACCCTTTATAAACCCCACCAATTGTAAAGTTACCAATGTGCAAATTTTACAAGAAAACATTCGAATTCAAAATGGATTTTTTACAATTCAAAGAGAATGAGAGAGAGAGAGAGAGTAGATATTGTTATTACTTATCACTTATTACTTATTACTTATTACTTCCCTTAGCTAACTTATTTGCATGCAATATACAAGAACGTTGTTTAACTATCGTCAAATGTCTAAACTACCCTTCAACGAAATACAAAATAGGTTCAACTATTATATCTTTTTAAGCATTAAGATGTTTGTCATCTTGTTGATGTTATGTTAGGTATTTGAAACTTTTGAAGTTATTATATGATGTTATATACTCCTATAAAAAGCATGAAATTAAAGTTATGTTAACAAAAGCAATTTCAGTTAAATTGGGTGTTGGACAGTGTGAAATGGGATGAAAAGGGTTTGGCTGTGGCTATAGCTCAAAATGTTGATTCAGGGGCAATTTTAATGCAAGGATTTGCCAATAGGGATGCACTTGCTACCACAATTGCTTCCAAAAAAGCAACTTTTTATAGCAGATCAAGATCTTCATTGTGGATAAAAGGAGAAACTTCTCTTAATTTCATCAATGTTCATGATATCTTCCTTGATTGTGATCGTGATTCTGTAAGTTCTTTTCTTTCAATGCATGTAATAGTAATCTACTTTCTTTAATTCGTTTGTTTGTTACTATAAGTTTATAACATCTTACTTTTGTTTCTTTCTTTCTTTTACTTGGAAAATTTTATGCAGTTATATAAATTTCATTCAAATATAAAGCAGTTTTCAGTGTTGTTATAATTGGATAGATCTTTCAAAGTATAATGACTTATTTATTTATTTGTTTACTTCCTTGCAATGAAATCGTTATGAAAATTGATGTTTGCATATTTCTACAACGAATGGATATGATTCTTAGTTATGTTATTTATGGAAATGTTAGGAATTTACCAAATAGGGAGAGTTTCTCATCGCCCAAGTTTCAATTGGACAGAAACTTGGAATCATGCAACGTGGATGCACGATGAATGAGAAATTACGTATTTGGAAATTAGACTAATTCATTGACAAAGTGTCAAGTGAAGGACTAGGAGATCGAGTACACAAAGTTGTGTGTTGATCAAGTTCACCATAAGAGTAACAAAGATATTCGTTATGATTTACTAAAGGCTTAGTAAATATGATTACACTTACAAGATTAAGTGTAATTCTGAATTGTTTAAAGAGTTTAGATCAATAGTAGAACGAATAAGAAGAATCAAGTAGGCAGAAAGATAAAAGTTTCCCCATTCTAAGAAGAAGGGAGAGTAGCTTTTATGCTTTATGATAGGTTTGTAACATGCAAAGTTTGTATCTTAATTGATCCTCCAAGTGAGTCTTGGTACAATTGTATGTCCAAGAAGAGGAATCAAAGATTGAAGAAATGGTCAAATCAAGAAGTCAATCATACTTCGTTCCAAAACAAGTCTTAAAGTCAAGATTGTGACATTGAGTGAATAGTATTAAGAAGGTTTATAACATTCATCAATTGTGGAGAGTTGTGATGTCTTGGATAAGACAAAGACCAACTAGGACCAATTTATGAAGTGTTTTGATACAAGCTACACTAACTCTTGAAAAATTGTTTGTCAAGAAATGTTTATTGACAAAAGAATCTTATATGTCAAGGAGTCAGTGGGAGTCTTAATGGTCTCGAAAAGTTTCAAGATCAAATCAAATAAACCTTATCGATCATCACTAGCACACGAGTTAAGGTTTACAACCTATCGTGATGACATTATTTTGTTTCTATGCCATTCAAATTAAGTTAATTATGCATGCGAGTTCTATGAGTTCTCATTTTGAACGCATAAAAGGCAAAGCACCTTGATCAATGAAATGTACATTGACAAGAAAAAGGTGAGATGCTTAACTTATTTGAAGACGTGGTGGGCAGCTGTGCTATCATGAGGCAAGAAATCAAGATTAAGAAACTTTGATCCATATGAGTTTGAATTTGTCGTAAACTTTGGTTTTAACAAATTCACATGGATAGGAACAAATACACCATTTAAATCTAAGTGTCATAAGTTTTCCTCCTTCATGAAAATGATTGTGAGGAAATGCTTTCACTAAGAAAGATTTTAAAAGGATAGTGATTGTAAAATTGCATTCTCGAATTCAATTATGGTTATGGTATCCCTTTCCATAATTTGAATTGTGAGGTTTGGCAATTAGTCTTAATTGTTTAAGACACACATATGAACTATCGAAGGCAAAGGTGTACAAGTTCAAGAAGCCTTGATAAAAGATAATCAAAGCACTAAGTATTAGAAACATGGACTTAAGAAATTCAATAGGTATTGTCTTTCTGAAAGTTAAGATGTTTATGAATACATGTCGAAGCTAGTGGGAGCATAAGTGTTATGTTTTATAGTAATCATCATGATAGTGAGAGCATAAAAGTTATGATTGTATGATTATTATGGAAAGTTTTGCAAGTTGGCAATATTAATTATAGAAAAACAAGAGTTATACCTTGCAAAGTCGTAAGGGTTGTATAGTTGTTTTGCTATAATTAAGGGAGAGAATATTATGCTTCATTTCAAATCTAAAGGATTAGGTTGTGGAATGTTAATAAATTTAGTCAAAAGTACATAGTGTGTTCTTAAAATTTCGATTATGATTACAACATTCCTTTTTCACAATCCGATTTTAAGAACATAGCAAATAAAACATTGTGCATCGTGTCCCATACGCTTCGGGTATAGGATCGATTGCAAATGCTTTAATGTTTGACCATTCTAAAATTTTCCAAATGTCTAGCACATTTAGAGGGAAAAGGGACTAGAATCGGTTTTGACTAAAATAATTAAACAACTATCAAAGAACAATCCAAAGTTCGATGAGGATTGGTCGCTTGTGAGTAGTTGGAAGTATAGTATTGGAAATTATGGAAATGTTTCCATATTGGATGGACAATATTGACATCATTACAAATAGAAAAGATTCTATTCAGAATGAGTTGTCATGAGGAAAATATGGAAGCGTGTCCATATTAGGATTTGAATATTGAAAATCTATGACTAGATTATAAACGTTTATGCAAAAGGATGTTCAAAGGAATGTACTTTGAGTGAGAGACATCATATCTAAGGAATTTTCTTGTAACAATCTCCGATAGAGGACTTTATAATAGCATTAGCAATAGTCTTTGTGACTTTGGTGCAGTGACATTATGAAAGGATCGTTGCATAAAGTGTTAGAATCTAGCATATTCTATAAGTAGCGAGAATTTGATATTCTTACACTTAAGAAAATGGATTTGGAGTTGTAAAATGAGAATGATTGGAAATGTGTTCAATTTGTCTATTTCACAAAAGTAAGAACCGTAGGTAAACATTGTGTGCATGCTAGGAGCATGGGACAAGTGTTGTAATTCAAGTAAAAAGTTGATTACCCGAAACGACAAATAATGAGTAATCGATATGGTGATAAATAAAACGTGTTTTGTTTATACTCAAAGGTTTGAGGCCATATGGGATTAGTATTATTCTTGTGTTTCACCTTGCATGTTTTGACTTCCAGAATAATTGAGTTTATTAAGCATAATCGAATTATTCAAACGGGCCACAGTCGTTCATATGTTGGAAGTAGATATGAATGAAGACTGTCGTGAATTGGTGTGTGGATTGTCTAAAAGAGTATTAGACATAAGCAAATGTTTGCTGCAACGTTCATGAGTGCTTATGAATATGATTTGAGCATTGGATTAAACCCACTATCTCGAGTGATTAGTTGTATCTTGCTAATCGGTTGCACATTGATAATATGTATCTCGAGCATTGGAATTGTAATTATAAGATAATTGCAATTTGGGCCATGGATTGCCTTGTATTAAGGGATGGAATACAATTTGAAGATAATGATTATTTTTCCGGTAAACTTCAATAAATTTGATAATTTTAATGATTAACTTTATAATTTATTAATACTTGGTTACAGATAATATAACACAAAAAATATTTATATGAAATTTACCAAATGATTTTTTTTAAATTATTTGAATTTATGTAAAATATACTCCACATGTTTACATATTCTTCAAATATTATTAAAATAATAAATATGTTGAAAAATAAAATTAAAACTTGAATAATATAACTTAAAGTAAATAAGAAGTGGTTTGAAGATGATGGTTCAGTGTTGCGCCACGCAACACACGCATAACAAATTTTAAATTAGAAGTCTTTGAAAAAACAAAACACTTGTGAAAGGGCAACTGATATGCATGTGCTGCGCAACGCAACAAGAAGTGGTCATAAGTGTTTTTTTCTAAAAAAACAAATAGCACCTAAGTAACTGATATAACTAATATGATCATTTAAATTACGAAAGAATAAGGTGTTTCTGATTGCTTATTTTATATAATAAATTATTTTTGATAGAAATGCTTATAAACTTATATATATATATATATATATATATATATATATATATATATATATATATATACATGTGTGTGTGTGTGGGGGGGGGGGGGGTAAGTTCATGTGTTTCTTACATTTATCGTGTACTAGAATGCACCAATAGGAATTGAGTAAAATTAAATAATTATTTAATTAAATAAAGATAAATATTAAATGATTTTAATAATTGTATGTTTATTAAATGACTAGGTGTGAGATTCATGTATTACATTAGTTTAATTATAAAAAAACAAATATAAAATTTTAACAATTTGAAAAGTTTGAATTTATAAGAAAAATGAAAAAAATTTGAATTATTAAAATTAATGAGACTTTAATGTACTGAATACATTACATATAAAAACTCTTTCTAATAAATACTTTACATATATATTACCTTACACATTAAATGTGGAATTTTAATTTAATAAAATAAAAAATACAATAAAATGACAAGTGGAAAATAGAAATTTTAAAAATTCTAGAAAATGCCATGTGTCCAAATGAATGAGAAGAGGATATGTAGCAAAAAAACCTTCATTTATTATAGGATATATATCTATAATTATAATTCTCTTTTTATGGAAACTAATTAAATCCGTCATTAATGTCAACAATAAAGTTCTTTCAGAATGAATGTGCATCTAAGTTTTTATGTATGGATTTGTGTTTTGTTTATGGATCCACTCACTTAAAATAACAAAGTTGCATGAAATATGAAGAACAAAAGTGTATTCTTCTAGAACACACTATCATTCTGTTAGAATACACTGTCATTCTGTTAAAATATATTCTCATTCTTGTAGAATAAACTCTAATTCTGCTAGAATACACTCTTGTTCTCAATGTTCTAGGCTACTTTGTTGTATTTTGAGTGAATGAGTCATGAAACAAAATATGAACCCATACATAAAAACCTAGATGCGAATTTATTTTGAAAGAATATTATTACCGATATTAATGATGAATATAATTAGTTTACATTAAAAAATCAATAATTATGGATATCATTTAATATACACTAGCCGTCTACCCGCGCAAAGCGGCGGGGCACGTGAGTTCTTTCGGTGATATGTTTCCATTACAAAATTGTTATGTTAAAAAAAAGTACATGTTGAAGACAATATAATCAAACTATGGTGTTATTTGTTACATCATGCATCAAATAACCAATAAAAAGCAACCAATCAAGACGACACAAAATATTAATCGTGCAATACTTCTTTATACACCACATTTGCTGTATAAACCCCATCACCTTTTGAATTTTCGTTAGGGTTTACTAATACTTTTGTATTGCAACGTGAAACCCCTCTGGACAATGCAACATAAAGTTGTCCATGCGAGAATACTGGTTCTGGAAGATAGATACCTACATATGGAATTGTTTGTCCCTGAGCTTTATTGATTGTCATTGCAAAGCACAATCGAATAGGAAACTGTTTCCTCATTAGAGGATCGATGGTTGCTACTAATTGCTTGTAACTGGTATTGGTTTCATATCGATGGATGTGGATTCGCATATGAAATCAATTGTGTTCGCATCTATGAAATCAGTTCGCATATGACATCAATTGAGTTCGCATTTGGTTTTGTGGGTCAAAACAGTTCGCATAAGAAGTTCACGATTTGTTTGAGGTTAATTGATTTTGATTTCGCAAGCTTGGAGTCGGAGATCTGGATTGTGTTCGCATCTATAGAATGCGAGGAGAATTTAATGGTGATATTCAGTTCGCATTTGGTGACACAAGTACGTGGTTGATGATTTTTGGTTGGTTCGCATTTGAAATTAGTGGGTTTCGCATTTGGGTTCGTATCTGGGTTTCTCAAACAACTGAAATGCGAATATGAGACAACTGATTAATTTCTCAGTTAATGCGATGAAATGCGAATGAACTCAAAGACGGATGGATGCAAGATGCGAAGAATTTGAATGAAAATGCGAAGTTTTTAATGTATAAATGCGAATTGGGGAAGAAAGCTTAGAGTTTCGCATTTGGCACCTGATCTTTTCAAGAAATAATATAAGTGGTCCAACTTCGCAAAATGGGGTCATTTAATCAGAAAATCGATCATTCTTCAAATATGACATTTAATCAGAAAATCGATCTAAAAATGAGACATTTGGTGTTTATCGATTTTTCAGGGTCGACGGGTTGTATGAAAAGCGAAGGCTGAGTAATTGAAAATTAGAGGATCGATGGTTGCTACTAATTACTTGTAACTGGTATTGGTTTCATATCGATGGATGTGGATTCGCATATGAAATCAATTGTGTTCGCATCTATGAAATCAGTTCGCATATGACATCAATTGAGTTCGCATTTGGTTTTGTGGGTCAAAACAGTTCGCATAAGAAGTTCACGATTTGTTTGAGGTTAATTGATTTTGATATCGCAAGCTTGGAGTCGGAGATCTGGATTGTGTTCGCATCTATAGAATGCGAGGAGAATTTAATGGTGATATTCAGTTCGCATTTGGTGACACAAGTACGTGGTTGATGATTTTTGGTTGGTTCGCATTTGAAATTAGTGGGTTTCGCATTTGGGTTCGTATCTGGGTTTCTCAAACAACTGAAATGCGAATATGAGACAACTGATTAATTTCTCAGTTAATGCGATGAAATGCGAATGAACTCAAAGACGGATGGATGCAAGATGCGAAGAATTTGAATGAAAATGCGAAGTTTTTAATGTATAAATGCGAATTGGGGAAGAAAGCTTAGAGTTTCGCATTTGGCACCTGATCTTTTCAAGAAATAATATAAGTGGTCCAACTTCGCAAAATGGGGTCATTTAATCAGAAAATCGATCATTCTTCAAATATGACATTTAATCAGAAAATCGATCTAAAAATGAGACATTTGGTGTTTATCGATTTTTCAGGGTCGACGGGTTGTATGAAAAGCGAAGGCTGAGTAATTGAAAATTAGAGGATCGATGGTTGCTACTAATTACTTGTAACTGGTATTGGTTTCATATCGATGGATGTGGATTCGCATATGAAATCAATTGTGTTCGCATCTATGAAATCAGTTCGCATATGACATCAATTGAGTTCGCATTTGGTTTTGTGGGTCAAAACAGTTCGCATAAGAAGTTCACGATTTGTTTGAGGTTAATTGATTTTGATATCGCAAGCTTGGAGTCGGAGATCTGGATTGTGTTCGCATCTATAGAATGCGAGGAGAATTTAATGGTGATATTCAGTTCGCATTTGGTGACACAAGTACGTGGTTGATGATTTTTGGTTGGTTCGCATTTGAAATTAGTGGGTTTCGCATTTGGGTTCGTATCTGGGTTTCTCAAACAACTGAAATGCGAATATGAGACAACTGATTAATTTCTCAGTTAATGCGATGAAATGCGAATGAACTCAAAGACGGATGGATGCAAGATGCGAAGAATTTGAATGAAAATGCGAAGTTTTTAATGTATAAATGCGAATTGGGGAAGAAAGCTTAGAGTTTCGCATTTGGCACCTGATCTTTTCAAGAAATAATATAAGTGGTCCAACTTCGCAAAATGGGGTCATTTAATCAGAAAATCGATCATTCTTCAAATATGACATTTAATCAGAAAATCGATCTAAAAATGAGACATTTGGTGTTTATCGATTTTTCAGGGTCGACGGGTTGTATGAAAAGCGAAGGCTGAGTAATTGAAAATTAGAGGATCGATGGTTGCTACTAATTACTTGTAACTGGTATTGGTTTCATATCGATGGATGTGGATTCGCATATGAAATCAATTGTGTTCGCATCTATGAAATCAGTTCGCATATGACATCAATTGAGTTCGCATTTGGTTTTGTGGGTCAAAACAGTTCGCATAAGAAGTTCACGATTTGTTTGAGGTTAATTGATTTTGATTTCGCAAGCTTGGAGTCGGAGATCTGGATTGTGTTCGCATCTATAGAATGCGAGGAGAATTTAATGGTGATATTCAGTTCGCATTTGGTGACACAAGTACGTGGTTGATGATTTTTGGTTGGTTCGCATTTGAAATCAGTGGGTTTCGCATTTGGGTTCGTATCTGGGTTTCTCAAACAACTGAAATGCGAATATGAGACAACTGATTAATTTCTCAGTTAATGCGATGAAATGCGAATGAACTCAAAGACGGATGGATGCAAGATGCGAAGAATTTGAATGAAAATGCGAAGTTTTTAATGTATAAATGCGAATTGGGGAAGAAAGCTTAGAGTTTCGCATATAAATGAAAGTACGATGCTATTCCTTGTATTTAGTTGTTTTCAATGCAAAGAATAAGATAAAATGGAAGTACGGTATTAGCTAATCTGCAATTGCATTCAAATATTAAGAATATTGATAATACCAAATGTGCAATTTGGGTTAAAAAAAACTTAACTTGAGCTTGTAAGGGGAGATAATTCTCTAGAATAAAATCACTCTTTCTTTTAATCGTGAGAATCACAATCAGTTGAACTGTTGAAGAGATGAAGTAACAGGTCGTGCTTCGAAAAAATGAGAGAGTGGACATCAAATGAAAAAATTATCCAAAACCTATAAATCAGATAAACTAAAACAACTTAAAAAAATAATAAAATTCTTACAATCCAAAAACAAAACCAAGATGAATTAAACACAATAATCATAGTCAAGTTTTGAAATATATTGAATTAACTTGAACCAATATTCTGCACATTGGGTGTTAGGCAATATACTCCTGCAAAAAATAATGTAAAACAAGCTCATAAATTGTGAATAAAATAAACAACTAACCCTAAAACTGGTTGGAAATAGTGTGTGCTGATCTCATCAAATAATCTGGCATTTATGAATAGCTCTAAATAATCTTAAACAACATAGGTGAGTGTAAGAATCGATATATCCATGAAACACAGAGTAAAATCATTATATGACAATTAAGTAAAACTAAAAAAAAACATGGAACAGAGAATTTGATAGAACTATTTACCTGGATAGTGGTGAAGATGGAGATGGTTAGTGAAGGCTTCAACGTTGGGGTTTAATTAGAGTGTGAATACAAAGATAGGGGAGAAGACAAAGATGGTAGACGATGGTGGTGAGGTCATGATAACAGTTCGATTTCTGTGATTTTCACCCAATTCATAACAAAAATTGTTATTTTTCTTGAAAACAAACATTAATTAAATGGATAAGGATTCAACAACTACAGTAAAATGATAGAGTAATAAGATATTTCCTTCATTAACTGGAGTCCATATCAGTACAGATAGTTGAAGATATACCTGAATTGATACAGATAGTTGAGAAATGTCAAAAGGACACAAATACCCTTAGTACCACTTAAACAAGAAAGCTTTACTCTAGATACACTTATACAAGAATATTTAATATACAAATGATTACCCAAAATGTAGACAAACATCAGAACCTGAAATGGAGAGGAAACACCGGAAATTGAGAGTAAACATTGACGATTATGTGATAAATGACTGAAAAGAACACTTTAAAATTGCTAACAAAAACCTGTATTGTTAGAGAACGTTTGTAAATTAATAGTGTTTGCCTCCTGGTTCTGCAATAGAGAGAGAGAGAGAGAGAGAGAGAGAGATGGTTGGAGACCTATGACCACAAAAAGAGAATATGTGTGTGCATATGGCTTAAAGAGCACTAACCTTGAAATCGTGTTGGATCCTGGTCCACTGTGACACTTGTTGTGAAAATGGTTGTCTGAGGTTTCTAGAGAGTCGAGTGCGACCAGCTGTGAGTAGTAGATGGTTAGGTCTCCAGGTATGTGTGTAAAATGCGTAACACTTACGACCTCACAGATAAGAAATTTTTTGCAGTCAATTGGTCATATAAGGGGATGGGGCAGAGATATGAAGAAAAAGATTCGTTCTAGACTTGACCGGTGCAATCGATCAAAATCAAATAATTAGAGAATAGAACAGTAGCATATGCTAGATGTCGAGAGATGGGGGTTGTGAACGGTGGTAAGATGAAGTGCGATGATGATGAAGGTGGCCTGTTTGATGGTAGTGAAGGTTATGTGACAACAAAGTTTACTGATGGTGTTGTGATGTTCGATATTCGGGTTTCTAAAGGAGATATGCAAGAGAAGAGAAAGGCAGAGGTGTTTAGCAGCGACTGTAATGGTCTCAGTGGTCAAGGTGTGGTGGGTAACTGCGTCGAATATGGGAGGAATTTTAGAGTATTTAATAGAGAGGGAGAGAGTTCAAGGAGAGAAGAGATGGCGACTCATCTAGGGTTATTCTACAAGGAAGGGCTATAGATACTAAGATAAGAGATGATATATAAAGTTTATCTATAGACCGATTCAATTGGCAAAATCTGAGGAAGACGGGTTCTTCTTTGACCAGTTCAATTTGAAGAAGAAAGCCAAAGCCTATTCAATATGTACGTAATTCATGTTAACCGCGTAAGATTTGGTATTTTTCTATGCATAAACTCATTGTAAATAGCGTAATAAGGGTTATACCTCTTAAAATTTAATATTATTTTATTAATGATTACTTGTACTAACAGCTTAATGGTTTGGACGTCTTAAAAAATATTATTATTATATTGAATCTATTTATGGAAATAGTTGGATTTCTATTATAAGGTAGTATATATATATATATATATATATATATATATATATATATATATATATATATATATATATATAAATGTTTGGATTATCTTGCATGGTAATAAAAGTTATAAATTGATATTTCTTTTTTTAGAGTGTTTGGATTAAGACAAAATATAAAAAATACAAACATACATATTTAAGTCTATTTAGTATACAAACATATCATCTCTAATAAATGAATGTTATTTTGGCCACTTATCACACTCTCATTCAATTGCCAAATATCATTTTGTAGTTATTTTGAATTATTTTTTTTAATTTTCACATGTTATTTTATAAGTTTTTATAGTTTATTAAATTCCACATGTAATAATTGCAATAAATGTACTAATAAATGAATATCAATTTAATTAATGAACTTAATTTTTAATTTAAAATTTCATAAAACTAAAACTCATTAATTTCTTTTATTTATTTAAATTATTTGCTTAAATTTAAACGATAAAAGCATTTTTTTTATAATAATTTTATTATTTCTATAAATTCAAAGTTTTTAAATATTTTGAAATTTATATTTAATTTTTTTTAAATTAACCTTTGGTATACAACGAAAAACAAAAAAGGATCTCCTTATTATTTTCTTTTTAAGTTAACAAGAAAATTTCACTTTTAAAACTAGTAAAAACCTATTTTAGAAAATACTTATTAACTTTTCAAACATTTTTTGATAATTTTTTTTTAAAACTAAAAAATCAATAAATATTTTTCAAATTAAATCTCAAAACACCCTCTCAAATAAAAATATAAAATCATCTGCTATATTGCAAATAACTTTTGTGATATTGATTTATTTATTTTTCATTTCGCGATAAACATATATCCTGTTCAAACCAGTCTTTCTCCACTCCACTTTGCCCTACTCCCCCGTTTCCCCCTTCTCAGCTGAGCCTGTGCTATCAGTCAAAGCTCTCTCTCTTTCTCTCAGGTATGTGGCACAAACTCATCTCTCCCACGAACAAACCTTGTAAGAATTTGATTCTGAGCCCTACGTTTACTTGTAGATTTTGTCCCCTAATGTTGCGTCATCGATGATGTAGAATCTCATTTTGAGGACCTGAATCATCTCATCCCCGTGTATCTTCTATATCTTTATTTGATTTGAACATGCATTGAATTGCCAAGTCTTGTTATCTGATATGGATGTGACATGCATCCTGACAAAATCGAGCAGATGCATTTCTAGTATTCCGTGATGAATGGATTTAAGTTGTCTGAGTTCACACGCTGTTTTCAAATAAGTTTTTTTGAAATGAAACTGCTATGCATGCTGTTTGCGAATTGGAGGCATCAACGTCAGTGTAGTGGTGTTGTTGTACCTGTTACTCCGTCTGTGAAAGAAGGAGACTATTCCTTTTCAAAGTTAAGATTTATAGTTCAAATCCTGTATGGATCTTCCTTTGAAATTACATTTATGTCAATTTTGAGTCTAAAACGAAGCTTTCTGAACATTCAGAAGTTGAAATGTGGATTTCTTTTAAGATGGATGTGTGGAGTTTAGTACAGATATTATCCAAAATCGTAGTGTAGCTTCTTTTCTTAACAAATGGCATTTTCTTATCTGTGTCTAGTGTTACACTTGTCCTCTTGATTATTATCAAGATTCAATCCCCCTTTTTCCCACCATTTTCTTTATTTACTTCACATTTTTCTTTAGGTGCTTTATTTCCTATGGCGTTTGCAAATTTTCATGGACTTAGAGCTCTGCAAATTTCTTCACGAGAAAGCATTTTCAACCATGGAAGCTGCCACACACGAACTGATACATCCAACAGTAGATGTTTTGCTGTCAAGGCTTGCAGTAAGAAACCTGATCAAAACATTCATCTTGAATCTAAGGTAAATTTATATGAAGCTCTCTACTTCATCATACTTTTCTGTGATTACAGATTCTCGTATCCTAGCTGTTTTCTGCATATTTAACATTATCTCAATTTGATCTGAAGGTCTATATAGTTGTATATTGAGTATTGAATGTTTAATTGCAAATTTGCAATGTAGATTAACATGTTCTCCTCAAATTTCATCATTGAATGGCCAATAACCAAAAGGGGTAGTGAATTAGTAATAAATTCGTTATTTCATTTTGTCTATATGGATAACCTTCTTTTCTCCTATAAACAAAGACCTTTTTTGATTTAACAAAGAACATTCTCTATATATGAGTTTATTTACCAATTTTCTCTTACAAACATCTACTTAGTGATACATCCCTCAAAAAATTGCAACATATGGTTCAAATGAAGTTTTCAGCTTTTATCAAATGTCCCAAATACCCTTTATAAACCCCACCAATTGTAAAGTTACCAATGTGCAAATTTTACAAGAAAACATTCGAATTCAAAATGGATTTTTTACAATTCAAAGAGAATGGAGAGAGAGAGAGAGAGAGAGAGTAGATATTGTTATTACTTATCACTTATTACTTATTACTTATTACTTCCCTTAGCTAACTTATTTGCATGCAATATACAAGAACGTTGTTTAACTATCGTCAAATGTCTAAACTACCCTTCAACGAAATACAAAATAGGTTCAACTATTATATCTTTTTAAGCATTAAGATGTTTGTCATCTTGTTGATGTTATGTTAGGTATTTGAAACTTTTGAAGTTATTATATGATGTTATATACTCCTATAAAAAGCATGAAATTAAAGTTATGTTAACAAAAGCAATTTCAGTTAAATTGGGTGTTGGACAGTGTGAAATGGGATGAAAAGGGTTTGGCTGTGGCTATAGCTCAAAATGTTGATTCAGGGGCAATTTTAATGCAAGGATTTGCCAATAGGGATGCACTTGCTACCACAATTGCTTCCAAAAAAGCAACTTTTTATAGCAGATCAAGATCTTCATTGTGGATAAAAGGAGAAACTTCTCTTAATTTCATCAATGTTCATGATATCTTCCTTGATTGTGATCGTGATTCTGTAAGTTCTTTTCTTTCAATGCATGTAATAGTAATCTACTTTCTTTAATTCGTTTGTTTGTTACTATAAGTTTATAACATCTTACTTTTGTTTCTTTCTTTCTTTTACTTGGAAAATTTTATGCAGTTATATAAATTTCATTCAAATATAAAGCAGTTTTCAGTGTTGTTATAATTGGATAGATCTTTCAAAGTATAATGACTTATTTATTTATTTGTTTACTTCCTTGCAATGAAATCGTTATGAAAATTGATGTTTGCATATTTCTACAACGAATGGATATGATTCTTAGTTATGTTATTTATGGAAATGTTAGGAATTTACCAAATAGGGAGAGTTTCTCATCGCCCAAGTTTCAATTGGACAGAAACTTGGAATCATGCAACGTGGATGCACGATGAATGAGAAATTACGTATTTGGAAATTAGACTAATTCATTGACAAAGTGTCAAGTGAAGGACTAGGAGATCGAGTACACAAAGTTGTGTGTTGATCAAGTTCACCATAAGAGTAACAAAGATATTCGTTATGATTTACTAAAGGCTTAGTAAATATGATTACACTTACAAGATTAAGTGTAATTCTGAATTGTTTAAAGAGTTTAGATCAATAGTAGAACGAATAAGAAGAATCAAGTAGGCAGAAAGATAAAAGTTTCCCCATTCTAAGAAGAAGGGAGAGTAGCTTTTATGCTTTATGATAGGTTTGTAACATGCAAAGTTTGTATCTTAATTGATCCTCCAAGTGAGTCTTGGTACAATTGTATGTCCAAGAAGAGGAATCAAAGATTGAAGAAATGGTCAAATCAAGAAGTCAATCATACTTCGTTCCAAAACAAGTCTTAAAGTCAAGATTGTGACATTGAGTGAATAGTATTAAGAAGGTTTATAACATTCATCAATTGTGGAGAGTTGTGATGTCTTGGATAAGACAAAGACCAACTAGGACCAATTTATGAAGTGTTTTGATACAAGCTACACTAACTCTTGAAAAATTGTTTGTCAAGAAATGTTTATTGACAAAAGAATCTTATATGTCAAGGAGTCAGTGGGAGTCTTAATGGTCTCGAAAAGTTTCAAGATCAAATCAAATAAACCTTATCGATCATCACTAGCACACGAGTTAAGGTTTACAACCTATCGTGATGACATTATTTTGTTTCTATGCCATTCAAATTAAGTTAATTATGCATGCGAGTTCTATGAGTTCTCATTTTGAACGCATAAAAGGCAAAGCACCTTGATCAATGAAATGTACATTGACAAGAAAAAGGTGAGATGCTTAACTTATTTGAAGACGTGGTGGGCAGCTGTGCTATCATGAGGCAAGAAATCAAGATTAAGAAACTTTGATCCATATGAGTTTGAATTTGTCGTAAACTTTGGTTTTAACAAATTCACATGGATAGGAACAAATACACCATTTAAATCTAAGTGTCATAAGTTTTCCTCCTTCATGAAAATGATTGTGAGGAAATGCTTTCACTAAGAAAGATTTTAAAAGGATAGTGATTGTAAAATTGCATTCTCGAATTCAATTATGGTTATGGTATCCCTTTCCATAATTTGAATTGTGAGGTTTGGCAATTAGTCTTAATTGTTTAAGACACACATATGAACTATCGAAGGCAAAGGTGTACAAGTTCAAGAAGCCTTGATAAAAGATAATCAAAGCACTAAGTATTAGAAACATGGACTTAAGAAATTCAATAGGTATTGTCTTTCTGAAAGTTAAGATGTTTATGAATACATGTCGAAGCTAGTGGGAGCATAAGTGTTATGTTTTATAGTAATCATCATGATAGTGAGAGCATAAAAGTTATGATTGTATGATTATTATGGAAAGTTTTGCAAGTTGGCAATATTAATTATAGAAAAACAAGAGTTATACCTTGCAAAGTCGTAAGGGTTGTATAGTTGTTTTGCTATAATTAAGGGAGAGAATATTATGCTTCATTTCAAATCTAAAGGATTAGGTTGTGGAATGTTAATAAATTTAGTCAAAAGTACATAGTGTGTTCTTAAAATTTCGATTATGATTACAACATTCCTTTTTCACAATCCGATTTTAAGAACATAGCAAATAAAACATTGTGCATCGTGTCCCATACGCTTCGGGTATAGGATCGATTGCAAATGCTTTAATGTTTGACCATTCTAAAATTTTCCAAATGTCTAGCACATTTAGAGGGAAAAGGGACTAGAATCGGTTTTGACTAAAATAATTAAACAACTATCAAAGAACAATCCAAAGTTCGATGAGGATTGGTCGCTTGTGAGTAGTTGGAAGTATAGTATTGGAAATTATGGAAATGTTTCCATATTGGATGGACAATATTGACATCATTACAAATAGAAAAGATTCTATTCAGAATGAGTTGTCATGAGGAAAATATGGAAGCGTGTCCATATTAGGATTTGAATATTGAAAATCTATGACTAGATTATAAACGTTTATGCAAAAGGATGTTCAAAGGAATGTACTTTGAGTGAGAGACATCATATCTAAGGAATTTTCTTGTAACAATCTCCGATAGAGGACTTTATAATAGCATTAGCAATAGTCTTTGTGACTTTGGTGCAGTGACATTATGAAAGGATCGTTGCATAAAGTGTTAGAATCTAGCATATTCTATAAGTAGCGAGAATTTGATATTCTTACACTTAAGAAAATGGATTTGGAGTTGTAAAATGAGAATGATTGGAAATGTGTTCAATTTGTCTATTTCACAAAAGTAAGAACCGTAGGTAAACATTGTGTGCATGCTAGGAGCATGGGACAAGTGTTGTAATTCAAGTAAAAAGTTGATTACCCGAAACGACAAATAATGAGTAATCGATATGGTGATAAATAAAACGTGTTTTGTTTATACTCAAAGGTTTGAGGCCATATGGGATTAGTATTATTCTTGTGTTTCACCTTGCATGTTTTGACTTCCAGAATAATTGAGTTTATTAAGCATAATCGAATTATTCAAACGGGCCACAGTCGTTCATATGTTGGAAGTAGATATGAATGAAGACTGTCGTGAATTGGTGTGTGGATTGTCTAAAAGAGTATTAGACATAAGCAAATGTTTGCTGCAACGTTCATGAGTGCTTATGAATATGATTTGAGCATTGGATTAAACCCACTATCTCGAGTGATTAGTTGTATCTTGCTAATCGGTTGCACATTGATAATATGTATCTCGAGCATTGGAATTGTAATTATAAGATAATTGCAATTTGGGCCATGGATTGCCTTGTATTAAGGGATGGAATACAATTTGAAGATAATGATTATTTTTCCGGTAAACTTCAATAAATTTGATAATTTTAATGATTAACTTTATAATTTATTAATACTTGGTTACAGATAATATAACACAAAAAATATTTATATGAAATTTACCAAATGATTTTTTTTAAATTATTTGAATTTATGTAAAATATACTCCACATGTTTACATATTCTTCAAATATTATTAAAATAATAAATATGTTGAAAAATAAAATTAAAACTTGAATAATATAACTTAAAGTAAATAAGAAGTGGTTTGAAGATGATGGTTCAGTGTTGCGCCACGCAACACACGCATAACAAATTTTAAATTAGAAGTCTTTGAAAAAACAAAACACTTGTGAAAGGGCAACTGATATGCATGTGCTGCGCAACGCAACAAGAAGTGGTCATAAGTGTTTTTTTCTAAAAAAACAAATAGCACCTAAGTAACTGATATAACTAATATGATCATTTAAATTACGAAAGAATAAGGTGTTTCTGATTGCTTATTTTATATAATAAATTATTTTTGATAGAAATGCTTATAAACTATATATATATATATATATATATATATATATATATATATATATATACATGTGTGTGTGTGTGGGGGGGGGGGGGGTAAGTTCATGTGTTTCTTACATTTATCGTGTACTAGAATGCACCAATAGGAATTGAGTAAAATTAAATAATTATTTAATTAAATAAAGATAAATATTAAATGATTTTAATAATTGTATGTTTATTAAATGACTAGGTGTGAGATTCATGTATTACATTAGTTTAATTATAAAAAAACAAATATAAAATTTTAACAATTTGAAAAGTTTGAATTTATAAGAAAAATGAAAAAAATTTGAATTATTAAAATTAATGAGACTTTAATGTACTGAATACATTACATATAAAAACTCTTTCTAATAAATACTTTACATATATATTACCTTACACATTAAATGTGGAATTTTAATTTAATAAAATAAAAAATACAATAAAATGACAAGTGGAAAATAGAAATTTTAAAAATTCTAGAAAATGCCATGTGTCCAAATGAATGAGAAGAGGATATGTAGCAAAAAAACCTTCATTTATTATAGGATATATATCTATAATTATAATTCTCTTTTTATGGAAACTAATTAAATCCGTCATTAATGTCAACAATAAAGTTCTTTCAGAATGAATGTGCATCTAAGTTTTTATGTATGGATTTGTGTTTTGTTTATGGATCCACTCACTTAAAATAACAAAGTTGCATGAAATATGAAGAACAAAAGTGTATTCTTCTAGAACACACTATCATTCTGTTAGAATACACTGTCATTCTGTTAAAATATATTCTCATTCTTGTAGAATAAACTCTAATTCTGCTAGAATACACTCTTGTTCTCAATGTTCTAGGCTACTTTGTTGTATTTTGAGTGAATGAGTCATGAAACAAAATATGAACCCATACATAAAAACCTAGATGCGAATTTATTTTGAAAGAATATTATTACCGATATTAATGATGAATATAATTAGTTTACATTAAAAAATCAATAATTATGGATATCATTTAATATACACTAGCCGTCTACCCGCGCAAAGCGGCGGGGCACGTGAGTTCTTTCGGTGATATGTTTCCATTACAAAATTGTTATGTTAAAAAAAAGTACATGTTGAAGACAATATAATCAAACTATGGTGTTATTTGTTACATCATGCATCAAATAACCAATAAAAAGCAACCAATCAAGACGACACAAAATATTAATCGTGCAATACTTCTTTATACACCA